ACTTCTTCTTTGCTATTTTGCAGCGAGCCTTTGCACCAGCGACACGCCTGGCAACGTCTCCTTGGTTGCTTTGTTCAAAGTTCATACTCGGCTCACTGCGCTTTTACTTTGTTTTGCTTTTTTGCTGCAGTTTTGGCACTGCCCAGCACCTACTTGGTGTATTTCCCATGCTGTAAGGTACCTCAGAGTGATGTAAGTGGCAGTGTTCGGAACGGAATGATGATGCCCAAGAAATATTAGAAATATTTCAAAATAGATAAATAAGAAGGCCGAGAAGACACACTCAGGTGCTAAATGTAAAATTGAACATGTCCAGCTGCAGTCTGTGTTTCATCCCTTAGCTGTAAACAAACAGTGATGTACGTCCAGCAGAAGTGGTATTTACCAGTACGGCCTTCTGCCAACTATCTGTAATATTCGCACGTAGCTAGTGCTCCAGACCAGACGTACATTGGTTAGAGCTGGGATACTGAACAATTTCCACACATTAGTTTTTGCATCCTTACATAGTTGTTAAGACCGGAGGTGCATCATTGGTGAGTTTGTCTTCTGGTAACCCATGCATCCTTTTCTCTTTCTTTTCTTCGTTCTTCCAGGAAAAAAATTACAGATTTGTCTTGTTTTCTTCACATTTGTAAAGTCGTTTCGACAACCTAACAGCCGTGTTTACATGCTTATCCTCTGACGGTCATCATCGCTATAAAGAAATTAGCAAGAATCGTGTTAAATCTCAAAATCTTATCCAAAAGCAAAGAGTGTTGTCCGAATGCCTAATTTAAGAGGCCATGTAGATTTCATAATGAAATTCATAAATTCTTCCATACATATTCTCAGTAAAGATGTTTTGTTGTTCAGGATGGCGTACAAATGCGCGAAATGTTCTGGGATTTGAGCAAGGATGTGGATGTCGATGCGTTAGCATGCAACGAAGCCATTAAACTTTTGCGAACAATGACCGAGGTGAGTACCACTAGTTCCGAACTTTTATGTTAAAAAAGTCCCTTTTTTACCAAGGTACCAGATACTGTTTTTCGTATTTCTTCACTCCCAAGGCATCATTTTGAAAAAATTTCCTAAATAGCAAAAAAAAAAAAATAATTTTATGCTTTTATCATCGCAAATAATATTGTAAAGGAGAGATATCATCAACTACAACATCAGCAGCCCATAGGTCCGTGAACATTACCAGGAACGGTCATCCCTCAAAATGGGAAATGTACTGGAAATCTTATTTTGTACGTGAAGAAAAAAAAAACTTCTGATTGATGGAACCGTACCATTTTCTTTCCAGTTATAGCTATTATCTAAATATAAAGGTTGTTTCATTGATAAGTTGGCTTTAGCGTGGCCAAAATTCTTAGTGTGATCACTTGACTTTAGCATGATAAATTGATTTTAGGGTCAAGCCAACTTCAGCTTATTTTTTTAATAAAACCTGGGGAAAAAAAAACAGTGGACGGTTTTGCTTTGCCTGACAAACTACCGTCATTTGAACCACTCTGGAGTGCCTCTGTATAGCTGGGAGAGGAGCTTTGGCTTGTACGGTTTGGAACTAGTGATTTTACCTGATGCGCAGATCTCCTGATCTTTTAGCGACCTTTTTTTTGAAAGAATTTCTTTTTAACTGAAAAAAAAAACCTCTGTGTAACATTGAAGCCCTTGCTTTTATTGAGTTGCAACAATCTTTCTTTAAATTTGCTGCGCTCCTGTATTTAACTATTTGAAAAGACCGGAACTTTCTGATGGTAATTTGCCAAAAACAGCGATTTTCTCAGCAGATGACGGGGGGGTGGTATTCTTTTGTTGATGGTGTTATAAGATGAAAATAGTAAGGTAAAATTGACATTCCAACATGCTGCATTGTAATTACCCCTGGTAGTCCTGGCTTCATATATGCTTAGGATAATTTTAGGAAGAGAAATCGCAGTGTTGTAAATCAGCACTGTCACTGCTGGCAAACAAGGATGATCCTCGATATATGCATTATGAACGGATTCTCTCCTCCATCTTCATGGCTGCATGTAACGAAGGTGTCCTTAGCCTTTCGTAAGTTTTCTTTTTTTTTTTTTTCGCGTCTCACATTTTGAATTACTTTTTTTGAGAGGTTTTTTTATGGGCTGAATTTTTCAGGAATGATAAGTAAAAATTCGTTACTTGTTAACGCTCTAATTTTCATATATGAATGCCTGGAATAGTTGTTAATTCGTAGTTTGGCTTTCCAGTTTATGCAACTAGCAGTTTTTCCCGTTGTTTTAACCAACGGTTCGTCACTAGACTGCTAAAGATACTAGCGTTGATTTTGTCCTTTGAAAGGATTATCAGCTCAGCATCTCCCACAAAAGCACTAGATTAAGTTCTAGGTTTGGGGGCTGCACTGATGATTCCCACCCCATCCACACCATATACTGTCTGTGTTTGTAGCTTAGGGATGAAACACAGACAGATTTTTTCCACATTAAGCCCTCATACATGTCGTTGTTTCATCTTCTTAGCTCTTTATGTTACACATCTGCGTTTTACTATCCATTTCTTTCTTCTTTTCACCTCCCACTACAACTGCTCTGTTCCATTCATCCATTCTAACCGCCAAGAAGATTTGTCCCAACTGTATAGTCTTCTCATTTTTTTTCATTTTTTTTAAACGAAGTATTTCCTTGTTCTGCATTGTGCGTTACAGTCATGCTATACACATAAATCACCATCAAAAGTTGATAAGGCAGATACTTGGTAGATACGTTGCCAGTGCAAAACCATGCTTCCAGCCTGAGCTGTTCAGAATCACCAATGGAAGGGTTGCCTCGATTGGTTTTAATCTGTGGGAAAATGAAAAAAAAATACTGCTTTTTCTCAAAATAGTTTTTCTGCAAATTGCTGATTGGCGCTGAAACTTGAATTTACTTTTTTCCTGGCTTTTTTTAGTTTTGATTGCATTTTGAGGCAAGACATATTTGCTAATTTGTTCAACTTCTTCACTTCATTTTTCAAGTTTTTTGTGCTTTTTTTTTTAAGTTTTGTGGCTCATCTTTCAGAGAATGTTGCGAGCTGCTAATTTTGTCTACAAATTTTACACTCACAACTCCAATTGATGCGCGCAAATATGAGTTTATGCTGAAAAATTTACATCTTATTGACTACAAAGGGTTGCGCAACATCCTGAAATTGCTTGTGGTAGAACGGATGCAGGAAGTACCATCCACGATCACGCATCACCATCGCCACATGCTTCTTCCAGTCGAAAATGTTCGCCTTTTTTCCACTCACTTTTATGCGTTTTTGCATTTTGGGAAATGAAAATACATTAAAACGAGGTCATTTCTTTATTCACATTTGTGTTCAGATATGTACATAAATCTAAAGCTAGAACACAGCCTACAAGTCAGGATAAAGAAGAGATATGAATGGATTCTAGGATTCCTGACCTCCTACAAAGTCGAAAAACATGTTCATGAAAATTTGGATTCCTGATTTTCGTAGATATGGAATTGAATTTTGGGGGCGCCCCTAATGGTATTAGCTTCCATGTTGTACCGTATCTCAAATCTGTAATTTCTGCGCAGATTCGGAGTCTGTATTTTAAAGAAAAAAATTATATTTCCAAAAATTCAGAGATTAACTTGTAAAAATCATAAATTTTTAAACATTGATATATGCCCAGCAGTAGCAAATTACCAAAATATATTTTTTTTCAGATGCTGTTGACTTTGATTGACAGACAGTTGAACCTTTTGCCATCGTTATTCACAATCACCGAACTGCATCGTGTATCCAGTAACTCACGCGCCTTCCTCCTTCCGGTTATTCTTATTTCATTCCGTCGCATGAGTGCATTTTTGCATGCTGATTTGAAGTCCGTACGTTTTTAACGCCAGCAGACTGACCATCAGGTGATATGGTGCTGTTTGATACAACTAGAATAGTTGCCGGCTGCGTTGTTGGAGAACATTAAACTGATCAAAATATTAGAACTAGTAACCATTGCAACTGTAATTATGGTGATTTTTTTTCCTAAATTTCAGTTATTTTTAAAAATTTGGGGATCCCGAAGACCCTTTAGATCCTGGGTTTAAAAAAAATAGGCAAAAATGTAGTTAAAAAAAATCTGAAGTCTTAGAAAGCGCTTGGATCTGTAGGCAGTGGAAATCTAAGCAGTTTGATATCAGATGACAGATGGTTGGGTTTTGCGAGTCAAGAACATGCTGATTTTTAGCCTGCTGCCTTATGGCATCGTTAACTGTCCTGGTTTTGGCAGTACAATTATCCAGATTTGTAGATATTGTACTAGGGATTCACAACTTTCTCCCCGTTCATTCCTAGATATTTATGTTAGTTTCCATGCTTATACACTATCAGCAGAACTACCAATCCTTCATAGTTGTTGCTACCAAAACTGCTTCGTAAGATAATTTTGCTTGTTTCTAGTGACCTTGACATTTGTTTTCTGAAAAAAAAAATTGTGTAATATATCGCTTTTCTTCCTTCGCTTCTGTAATCAGTCAGTTCAAAAATCAGCGATTTTTTACAGCTATAACTTGTATTTGTTTGAATAATGTATGTGCAGAAAGCAAGAATTCTTTTCTGAGTGGTAAAAATCACCGGACGAAAATTTTTTGTTTCAGAGAGTGGCAAAAAAATTCAATGATATGTTCATTTCGTTTCGGCCACTGACCGAAATGGTAACAGTGATCGGACGCTCATGGCTTTATCCGATAGCAGCGCATATATCGTTCCCGGTGAGCACCTCATCATGGAAACTGGAAGTAACCACAACTCGTCTGCACCAGCGAGCGCATCTCCCGTACAAATCGGAGCTGTTCGCACCACAATCTTCCCTGCTTTACACGCTTCTTCGTCAACCACGCGGCAAAGATACCATTTCTGTAAGTAATCTTTTTTTTTTTTTTCAAAAAAAAAGAATAAAAATGTATTTACAGAATTAAACTTCGTTTGAGGAAGTTGTAGTAATTCAGAGTTTTTTTTTTTTTTTTTTTTCAAATATATAACTGGCAGCTTTTCCAGTTGCTTTAGTTAAAAACCACATCGATTGTTATTTTCGCTTTGTCTTGTGAAGCAGCTATGAGTTCAGCGGTTTTCTTAAAAAAAAGATGAAGCCTAATTATTAGTTCGGTTTTCTTAGCAAAGGCATTTAATGAAGCTTTGGCGAATTCAAGACGTGGGTTTTGAACATCAGAACATTACTACCTCCACTGGGACGTTGCTACTTCTAGATCGAGACGAGTTATCTTACTGATTCCGGAAACATTAAAAATGAAATAATATTTAGGAAGTACCTGATTTTTACCATTATTTGAAAGTGAAGAGGACATTAGAACCATGACCAACTAGGCAGTCTTCTGAAAAAGCAGTGAATTATTCCGAAATTACATTTAAATATTTTATCGTTTTGTGAACATTCAAGATTTTCCCTTTCGCTGGACATAAATAGAAATACTAAGTTTTGACGAGACATTTTGTCAGCGCATCGCCGAAACCCTAAAAAAAAGCAGATTGACAAAAACTGATGTGCAGTGAAAAAACAAGGCATATTTGTGATTGTTTGGAAATACATGTAGCCAATGTGTGTCAGAAGTATGGATTGGTCTACAAACTACTGTAATTCGTCAGGGCCTTGCACGGTGAATGAGTTTTTTATGCGTTTTTTGCATCTATGCAATGCAAAAACGCATATTGTCGAGGGGTTGTCTGTGT